CACATTGCTCACAAACTGGTCAGACTTTTGGGCCCAAACAAGTTCTCTTTCCCAGACAGCAAGGTATACTGTAGTTACTCCATTGTCATTCTACCCATGAGTTGCGGCTGCCAATCAATATCTTATTATCAAGCCTCATCAACCTCACTCCCAATACAACTATCCCGATGCCAGCCCCAATTAATGCCAAGGTGCCAGTACTGGCTCAAGAGTTTTACAGAAACAGCCGAGTTTCTCCCTCCAACCCCAACGCTGATTTACTCCAAGTCATTACTGTTCTTTATTGGATTCTCTTCGTTTCTCAAATGAGACACTTATCATCCAGAGACAGGTGTAAAAGTCAATACAGTTTGCGGTTTTTATACACACACATGGCACCAGAGATTTCTGTATTTTCCTGCTGAGAAAATGTTGAATGTAGAAATATTACACTGGGGTTTGTGCGTCAGTGGAGGTTTGGTTGCTAATCCTGTGTTCCACCACGGTCCCCACTGGCAGGACTCGGGCTGTTCAAGTGAAGGGCAGAGCCATGTTGCGAACCAGCAAGTGTCCCGATAGCCTTCTAATAGCTCTGGTAGTATCGTCCCTTTCCTCCGCCTCCGCTTTGATGTGGGCCCTCCTTCTCAGGCCACCGGCGATGGGGGACTAGCCTTTCATATGGGAGCTGCTGCACGCCCAGGGTTCTGCTCAGTCTAATCCGCCAATATGTTTCACTATGACAAATCCTTTACTGTACTGATGTTGATCCAGAAGAAGAAGAAAAAAAAGTTGAGGGCAGAAGTTTGTCTCCCCTAAGGTTATTTTATGTTTTTTTTTAAGTAGGGTCGAAGCAAGAAGAGAATGAGAAAAAAACTGGAAGAGGTAAAGAGGAAGGTGAATTTTCCTGAGGAAGTTAATGAAAGTCCTTGAAGTGAGGCGAGGGAAGCTGTCACCTGCCCTGGTGATAGATAGCAGCCTCACTATTATTAGCATTCCCAGCCCCAGCCTGGAGTTTTATGCCTTACTAGAGCCATTTGTTGATTAATTAATCAGGTAATGTATGCTATCTGTGCTACTGAAGCACCCACATATCGCTCCCGTGGCCTCTCCTGGGCTCTCTGCGCAACCACAGACCAGAATCTCCCACCAGACCACAGCACATTCAAAAATTACTACTCTAAACCAGCTGCTACCAAAGAGAAACCATTTGCACAAAGGTCCCGGCTGCTTTTAATGTAAAGTAGAATAATAAACATCCGTGAGGGAAACAGTCTCCCATTTCATGAATATATTCCCTTCCACCGGCCCAAAGTCAACCTTGTCTGATGTAATTTTTTCAGCTTTTGGAGAAAGTTTTCAAACTGTCAAAGCTATGAGGAAGGTAAAAATAAACTGGCATTGAAGCACGGTGGAGCTGCGGGACTACAGAGCTTAATGCTTCCTCCTGTTTCTCTGTCTGAAATTGAACAGGACTGCTCAAACAAAGCCCATGTGGAACATCGTAATCAATGTCTGTTTGTACAATGCAAGAACATCCAGTTAGGTTATATAATATAAACAGTCAATAAAAATCCAGTCCTCTTCTGTTATTATATTTATTGAATTTCTTCCCACGTATCATGTGCCCGCATGCCAATGTACTCGCTGTTATTGTCCTGTCTTTGCAGTCATCGAATTTGTTCATATAAGTGGCTCCGTTTCCACCAACGTGTCAGAAGGTTTGCAGTACTTATATTTACAAAGTTTGAGTTTTTACATTTTAAAACTGAAGCATAAAAGAGTAGTGCAAGAACAGCATAAAACAAAACAAATAGTTATCACTGAGTAGTCTGGAATAAAGAATGTACAAATCTAGTAATTCAGTGTTTAAACAGGTTTCTTTTTTCAGCATTTCAGTTCATGTCAGAGGTTTGCTTTTCCCAATTTCTATCAAAACATGTTCAGTTTTCTTTTTGCAAGCAGTATTTTGCCCAGTCCTTTCTCTATGTAATCTTTTCAACTTTCCCAAGGTACTTTACAGAGCAGTTGTTAAGAACTGCAGCTTTTATATTGTCTCAAAAAAACATAATTTTTGTGCAGCCTTGGTAAGATTTGCCTCCTGGTCACTTCCTCCAGCACGTGTTGAGTGGATAGCTGTGTGTGTTTCATGCGGTATGTATGAACTAAGTTAAGTTCTTCCATCAGAACTCTTTCCAGCCCTGTCAGCCCTGTGCATTTGGTGGGTGGCGGGTCCTCATTTCAGACCTTGAACGTAGAATGTTCAGGGTCTGAAATGCAGGTAAACAGTTGGCAGTGGCACGTTGAATCTTCAGACCATGATCTGACACTTTAGCAGAAAGAGAATACGCACAAAAGAAAGTCAGGTTTTTGTGAGGTCAGCATATGATTACAAGAAAACACAGAATAGTTTTTCTGTTTCTTTGTTATCCCAGACTAAATATTGTCTGTATGAATTGAAATATAATGATGGTATATTTTTGAACATAGGCCATCACACTCATGTATGCCCAGACATGTGTACTGTACGGTACCCTCCCACCACCAAAAACTAGGGTTCACCTGAAAGCCATGATGTAACTTGAATGGTGGAATTTAACATGCATGTAATGCCTTGTTTTTATAAATTTATCGACTGTTGAATGACAGCAATCTTTACATTAAATGATACTTAACTAATATAAATATCATTCCTTCATCTAGCACATGTATTTCTAAAATGGCAGATAAAATGTGTGAGTGTGAGACAAAAACAAATTGTACCGTATTTCCTTTGAGATTTTAATATATTAGCTCTGACTCCCATTTGGTAAAAATAGCATGTGCTAAGAAAAGACTGTATAAAGAAATGAACGTAACCCCCTTAAAGTCACACATTGGTTTGCTGACTCCAATTTGAAGCCTCAAGTGCAGCATTTTGGCTGTCATCTTGGATTTTTGGAGCCAGAGGTGACCACATTTGGATGAGAGGGTGGAGCTAATCCTAACGCTAGCTGCTAGCTTGGTTAGCTCTGTGCATTTACAGCTGTGTTAAAATGTTATAATGCTAATGCTAATTTTTGCTAGTGAAAAGCAGTTTTAAACCATTAAAACACTTAGAGGGTCATTTATTTAGTACAACCAAACACTGAACAAGACTTTTTTAGGCGACCAAAATATTACAGTTAACTTTCATGAACTCAAAACATTTAACTGTGTTAACTGTGCCTATATTCTGAGAATCTGGGGTTAAACCATGGATACATTGCCTAACCAGTGTTGTGTGGTAGCAGCTTGTCATCAGACTGCACCCACTTGTCACTCACAGCAGCCACACCCTTAATTTTGAATAACTCTAAGCCTTTATAAAACATAAACAGGTGAGTTATGTAATAATTCACCCCCTGTACAGTTGTCAAGACGGTAGAAATTAGCAATAGAGACCAAAACAGTTTTTTGTACCAGGCTGTTAACATATTTATTTCTGCTTTAAAGTTGGGAATTTTAACATAGACATCTATGGGGATTGTCCTTGGAGCCAGCCACAAATGGCCATTCTGGAACTGCAATTTTTGGCACTTTCTCGTTGGTTTCATTTTTCAGCCCAGGAGGTTGCTGCATAGTTCTGAGCCTCCTCTGCTTCCTCCTGAAAGGCATGCTTCAAGGCTGAGATGATCCTACTGTGGTGACCAGTCCTCACCTTTTTAAAAGAAATTGCTCAATTGTAGTTATCTAAAGAACCCTTTTAATCTTTAAACATGGTATTCAAATTGTTGCATTATTTAATATACATATTTAATTAGGTGTTTCATGCCCATAAATATTGAGAAAGACACAGTGGGGTCAAAGTCGACACAGCACCACTGTATCCACTACATGTGGTGTACAGATGTGCTTCAATCTTTTATGTGTAAAATGAGCATCATGTGCACTTCCTGGATATCTGTCTGTAATACTTCCTTTTTCTGTATCCTGCCGTTTTGCACTTCCTCCACAGCTGGTACCATTGTGGAGGAGCAGGAAATGACATCATACTTTCACGATATTGCCTTTCCTGCTCTGTCTCATCTGAGAATTGATCCTTTATCTCTAAATTCTGCACACATGTATAAAGTTGACAGCTGTTCTTAGTGTTTCCGCAAGCACATTGTTGTGAGTAATAAAAGTCTCAGCCAGTGGAGTCACGTAATAGAGTTGTCCATATATTGTGTGTGTGTTTGTGAGTGTGCAGCCCTGTAAATGTACTGTACTCCCTGTAAGCCGCATGCCTCCTCTCTCTTTTTTTCTTCCCCCATCATTTTCTCACACCCCTCAGTCAGCCAGAGTCTCCAGTCATTTATTCACCCAGCACCAAGCTCGGCCGACCTGAGGAATTTACGATCACTGGCTTGGCTTATTCTCACCTCGCTGTAAAGCTGTAACGGATTTACCGCCACCGGTGTGTCACTCCCGTCATTAAAATGTAAAAGTTTGCGACGCTGCCTAGAAAGTTACAAATGATGCCAGCGAGCTCGGCCGTTCCCTCCACTTACAGTTTGCAGGTAGTTTGTTCCCTCCTCGCTCAAAACTGAATCATGAGCTGTCACTGCTCCCATCACTCTAAGTAAACTCTACAGCTCAGGGAGGAAACGGAGCTCATCCTCTCCTCTAAAAAGGGTTTTTTTCCTCCACTTTTCAGACTTACTCTTAAAACCGCACACTGAATCTTTTCTGCTGTCCTGAATGGAGACTTGGCAGGGAGGGAATTCACTGCGTCGAGTTATCTTTTGATACGGCATGATGCATTTTGATTGCATATATGAAAAAGGCCAAGTTATTCTTTCAATAACGAATGTGTGCCCGGAGAGACTCCTCCTGCGCTGTCTCCCCAGCAAAGCCCGACCTGAAGATTTTGACAGTTTGACACTTTAATTTCCTACTGAGTATTTCACCTGAATTTCCCGGACAAAGAAGAGACATGCTGCTGGATGGAAAAAAAATGTCCATTGGAAATTATTTAAGTCTGGGCCTCAATTAAATCCTCTCTGCCCTTCTCTTTTACTCAGGTTTGGAAAGCACCGCAGGGATGAGCGGCCAGGAGACAGGATGGAGAGGAAGGGCTCCAGTAAATCTAAAGCTGAGGACACACAGGCGTCAGAGGAGGAGACCCTGCGGATGAGGCTGGAACAAGAGAGGTGAGTGCTTAGACAGAGCCTTGGCTCGCTAAAAGCCTAAACAATTAAGTCCCAGCTGAACAAAGAAAAAAAAAAAACACTGCTGACCGTAAAATTAGCAAACTACCTAATTAGCAAAATGGCGGAACAAGGTAGGGAAATTCTGGGAAGTGCTCAGATGTCAATTTGTGAAATGTCCCTTTCTTTTATATCAGTACATTAAATAGATCATTTATGGATTGTTGGTGCCTCCGCCATTCAGAGGCGCTGACCTCTTAATGGTGCTCGTAGGCCCCTGTGGATTTGGCGTGATTGAATGGTGCTCATTATAATGGCGAAATCGATGTAGCTCTGCATTCGTCTTCTCCCGCAGCTCGCCCAGGTTGTTAATCGCTCAAGAATGCGCTGTTCCTTTTAACCCGCCCCTCTTGGCTCTGTGTCCTCTGGTGTTTGTGGACATCAGGAGCATCCAGAAGAATAAGGCGAGGCACTGGTTCTGCCGCCTGTGCCTCATCCCTCACAGACAAGCCCCATTTAATTCTGTCTAGCGGGAAAGACAATATTGGTGGCAGGGTGAATGAAAAGACAGCTTGCTGCCTCCATTGTTCTCCACCAGCCAAATGAACTCAGCAATCAAAGTGCCGTCGGTAATGACAGCTAATTGAATAGAAACAATAGGGCTTGATACCGCTCCCTCTTACGGCGAAAGGAGAGAAGGATGGATGGCTGTCGAAAATGCACAGTGCCACAAACACACACACACACACAAACACACACAAAGGCCCTCTTCCTCGCTGAATGGAACATCTGGAGGCCTTGCTCAAAAAGCTGTAGCACATTTCTTTTTGGTATTCAGCTATGACTTGCAGTGATGGTCCTCTCCACTGAGAGTGCGAACACCTCTGGCCGAGGGCCCAACACATTTCCCTCAGTGCACCCTGGAGACCGGTGGGCCTGGCTCTCCATCCAGATCTGTCCCCTTTGAGAAGCTCCCAAACGACTGTCACGCTAAGCAGCAGAATCAACACAGACACACAGCAGACATGAGATATGTAGAGTACATGCCCTCACAGCCCTCCCCTCCCCACAAAACACATACACACTATTTAAATCCCACTTCTTTTCTTTCACCGCTGTCACCCAATTTCTTTGTCTGCTACTTTGTCTTGCAGCACGTTCTCATTCCCTGTCTTGTTTGTGTCCGTTCTGCATGTGTGAGCTCCGGTCCTAGCTCCCCGTGCAGGAGGGCAACCTAATTCTTTCCTTTTGTACCTGTTCCCAAATCCCATCACTCAGCCATGCCAGGATTGTCCCTCTGTTAATGGAAAGGGAATCCTGAGGGAAATCGCGGTGGGGTAATAATAAACCAACCTGCCATGAAGACAAGTCGATATTCAAAGCATTAGGGTTCAGCAGGACGACAGCTCAGAAATCCATTACTTCTTGTATTTTTTGGTAGCACTACTGCATTACACTCCCAAGGTGCTACATTTGATTGTCTTAGCTCTCTGCTTAAGGCCCACGCTCTGATTGATTACAACGCTGCCACTGAGACAGGACCATTTCAGAGCGTCTTTATGAAATTATGGATTGGACTGTAACGGGTTTCCGACTCTGGCAATCATCAGCCAGCCCCGTGTGTCAGCACGACCCCGGGATGGGCCGCAGCCAAACTCCTGGCTCTGCTGACATTAGCGATCATTAATTCAAGCAGACGGTTTTGACAGGGGCTTTTAGTGATTCAAAATAGGAGTCAGCGAAGAGGTGAGACAGATTAATTCATAAAACCTGCCCTTTTTAGCCTGCAATAAGGCAGCTACGGTTATATATTTAAAACTCTGACCTTGATATGATTCACGCAATTTATGGTTTGGCCCGCGGTCCTTGCAGGCACAACCCGTTTATTTGAGTCAAAATGTTCTCCTCCATTGATATCTTGTCAGCCTGTTATAGATGGGAGATGATGGAGAGGGGAGTTCATAAAACTTTGACTTAATTTCTGGAGCGCAGTGTCTCCACTTGATGAGGAGCGGTTATTAGCAGCATTTGTTTTGCAAAAATCTGGTAGATTTTAAACAGTTTCTGTGATTGACTGTTTTATGTCCCATCAAGGCGACATTATAACCTGTGGTTAGGCCGATCTAAATCTTTGTTGAGCCCAGCTGCGGCAGTCATCACTCTTTTCTCTTTATGCCTGTGGACAGCACCCAAGACACCCCTATCTGATTGGCTCATGTTGAGAGGACTGTGGAGACAACAAGCTCTCTGATTGGACCTTGGGTGGGTTGGAGAGCAGCCGTTCCTGCTATGGCCCTCATTCATGCAAGGCCATGAGGGAGAAGAGAGAGAAAGAAAGAAACGCAGGGTGTGTGGCGTTGGTGGAGCTTCTATCAGTCTCTGACTTATCTCGCCACATGCTAGCCCTGAAACTCTATTTTCCCGGCCAAAGAGGGAAGCACACAAAGACAACCTGACAATGTTCCTTCTTCATTTTCCGCCTGAACTGAACTCGCTTCTCTCTGTCTTTCTCTGTGGCAGCTGATTATGATGTCCATTCTCTCTTATCTGCTCGGCTCCGGTTGGCTTCTAATCAGCGGCCAGCACTCCACCGCCACTCTCTTTGTACCCGCTCCCCAGACCACAGCAGAGCACATCACTGCTTTTTTATCCTCGACAGTGGTCTGCTTCCTCTTGTTTGTTGTTTGATTTCCTGCTGACTCTGGACAAACAAAAACCTGACCACTGATTCTGGAGTGGGTCAGTCAGTACAATTCACTCTGAAAAACAGCAAACCTGGATTAGGCTTGAGAATTTAAAAGAATACTTCACCCCTTAATGATCTGATATATCAAGTACTCACTCCATGTTACGCTGCATTTGGGAAGAAAACTTTGTCATGGTAGGGGTCCACATTTAACAACAGTAAAACTATATCAAAACATCTGTTTCAGTCAGTATAAGCCAAGTCTCATGTATCCAGTCATATGTTCAGTAGTTGCCAAACACATGCATTTTTGCGAAGATGTTAATGTTTATAATTTTTCCGTATAAAAAGGGGCAGACCTTGCAGGAGAATGTTAATGCATAAGTGTTTTAAATAGTAATGTTTTAATGAAAATGCATGTCAGGCAAGACCACTTTGGTCAAAGAAAAATGTATTTCCATTTGCAGTATTATATTTGGTGGTATGGCTCTGTTCTGGGGCCTCCCTGCCCTTCCATGCGCCTACAGAGCAGCCCGGAACGGAACAGAGCAGCATCAAAGACAAACAGAAATGACATTGATAAGTCAGACACAGCATGAAAAGGAGGAGCTGGGGTGGAGGCAGGTTGCAAAGCAGCTTGCAGAGGAAGCAGCAACAGTAGGCAGGCCAGAGCAGTTTAAATAGGGCGCCCTGAATGAGATTCACCAATTGGTTGCATAGAAAGGAATCACGTGATCTATCAGCTGACTCCCTTCCATCAATCAGCTGCTCCATCAGTTGATGTAGCTGGGATGTGAGCTGAGCTTGACATCGAGTCCTGCCTGAACTAACGCTATGGTCAATTTGTTTGGCAAGTACTGAGCGTACAACTGTATAAATGAGATTCTAATTACACGGCATGAGTTGTGTGAGAGTTTGTAAACAAGTGTAGTTTTTGTGTTGCTAAAAGTCGTCCCCTGTGACTTAAATTCATCTAAATTTTGCTCGTTTTCTTCACGAATTCAGCGTAACAAGATGAGTAATTGATACACAAATTATCCTTTGGTGGGTGAAGTATTCCTGTAACAAGAGATAGGGTCTTCTCATACCATGCTCAGGGTAAACTGAATCGCTATAAGGCAGATCGTTCCCTTTCTGTTTTTTCGTCACAGTGATTGTGATGCCAATGTTATCATTCCACTTTGTCAAACCACCTCATTATTTCAGTATCCTATTTGAGTCTCATTTGCATAGTGAGTTCAAAGGAAGCTCCAACTGGCTGATTGGGAAGTGTGATTACATTTGTAATTATATTGATACCTACAGCAAGTTAATGCGATTGTTAACACTGTGAATTAAAACCACGAAACTTGGGCAATTATCTCCGTGATTGCATTATGCTGTTATGGGCCAAGTGTCAGCACAAAAGATGGGCTATCAGAGGTTTGCGATTCTGCACAGACAGCTGTACGCAGAGTCATTTACTGCACTTTGATTAGATTCAGATACATTCTGCCCTCCATCTGCACTTCAGAACAATAGAACATGTTTTGGTGAGGGGGGTATTGAAAAGAAAAATCTATTCAAGGCTGCTGGATGAGAAAGTAAGAGAGCAAATACATTCTGTTTCATCCACCATGGTAACAATGCATATTGAAGAGGCAGGCTTTCAAAGCTTCTAAGTGTGTTGACTTCAAAATGAGTGTCTCAAAGTATAGACAGCCCCCCCCCCCCCCCCCCCCCCACTCCCCTCTCCTCTTCTTCTCCGTCTCCCCCCTGCCTCCCTTGGGTAGATTACACATTGACAAACATATGGAGAAGGAGTCTGCTGGCTTTGTTGGTCCAAAAACAACCTCCCCTCTCCTCTTCTTCTCCGTCTCCCCCCTGCCTCCCTTGGGTAGATTACACATTGACAAACATATGGAGAAGGAGTCTGCTGGCTTTGTTGGTCCAAAAACAACAGCCCTGTTGGATAAACAACGAGATTTATTCAGTGTAGTGATGAACGACTTGAGGTGAGCTGACTGTTGCTACCAGTTCACACCAGCCTCTCATTCTATCAACATGATGTGTTAAAATAATTACTTGATGTGACAGTCGTCTGCTTTCACGTTCATGCACTGAAATGAAGCTTTAGCAACGATAACATTTCAAATTCAGTTTCAGTTGATGTTAGGGTATTCACACTCACTTTAGTGACAAGGAATGACAAGAAAAACAACAGGGAGAACCGAAAAAGTTGAAAGGCAGGATGTTAAAGAGGGAATAATGTCATCTGGTTGACAGATAATTTTCCTGAAGACACGGTCAGTCAGTGGATTAGGGGTTGAACTTTAAC